GCTCCTCACCAATCGAAATTTCGTCCAAACGTCCACGGGGAGTCTCTAGAACTTCTATGGCCTGATACTCTGCGTGATATCCGGTGCGACTCGCCCAGACCCGTAGATTGCTTCTGTACAACTCCAGGCGCTCGAAGCCCAGCCACGCGGGAAGGGCTCCGAAGTCTCGGGAACGTTGTTGACTCCAGCGACTGTCCCCGGACAAATTCCTATAATCATTCCAGTCGCAGACGTCGTACCATTCCCAAGAGTTCCCTCCTTGTTCTCTCCAGACAGGGGCCCAGGCCCACCAGGCATCCTGGTTCCACAACGCGACGGCGGAGCCCCTTCGATACTGATCAAACTGCTCCGGCGTGGCGGTCCCCTCCTCCTCCTCCTGCTCTTGCTCCAGGTCCTCGGCGCTGGCGCCCGCTGTCCTCGTCTCCGGCTGCCTTCGGCCGTCGTCAGCTCCGCTTACCACTGTCACACACTAGGGATCTCGGAGTCCACGAAGGGCCAAGGGGCGAAGGAGCCTTTTCATACAGCACGGCAGCGGGCGAGTGCCCTAAACCCAGAGGGCTGCGGAAAGGCGAGCCGAACCCTACCCCTTCACTAAACTCGAAGCGGCACGGGAACCTGGAGTCCTGGGCGGGAGACGGGCCCTGGAAGGGCTGCCGAGGTTCCCAGATCCTGGAAGGTCCCCGGGGACCGAGGGCCACGGCCCAGGAAAACGAGCGGGGACAGCTCTCGCCTTAGCGCCGCGCACACTCGTCTTCAAAATCTGCAAAGAGTTTTACGGATTGTGGGGAGATGGTTTCCAAAATGTGGTTTTCGCCTTAGCGCCGCGCACATTCGTTTTAAAAAAGTGCAGAAGTTTCAAGGACTGAAGGCGGCTCCTTTTCAAAATGTGGTTCTCGCCCTAGCGCCGCGCGCATTCGTTTTAACAGAATTGCAAGAGCTTCACGGATTGAGGGCGGGTCGTTTTCAAAATGTGACTCTCGCCTTAGCGCCGCGCCAAGAGCTTCACGGATTCCTAGGATCAACGTGCCGGAAATGTCGCTCTAGAAAGATTATAGATTATGCGGGCGCAAAATTTATGGTAATTCGCGGCGTTGAAGTCCCAGGAACGGCACTCTGGCACGATTCGGGATCGTCAAGACGCAGCAGTCAGGTTGATACGTGGCGTTAAAATCCCGAGAACAATGTGTTGCCACGTTTCAGGATCTTCAAACTGTTGTCTTCCAGCGAGGCAGTTCCCTCAATGGACATGAGCCGTTGTAAGGGCCTATGAAAAGAGAGCTTGGAGGGAGGGTGAATTCCAACATCGCTGATGACTCTCAGGTTTCCACGGGTCCTCTTCCACTTCCTCATCCGCGAAATCGCAGGCCTCCCCCTTCCCTTCTCCCTCCTCCTTCCTCCCCCTCCCACCTCCACCTCCTCCTCCTCCTCCTCCTCCTCCTGCTCCTCCTCCTCCTCCTCCCCCACATCCTCCTCTTCCTCCTCCTCTTCTTTCTCCTTGTCCTCCTCCTCCTGCTCCTGCTCCTGCTCCTCCTCATCATCCTCCTCCTGTTCCTCCTCCTCCTCCTCGTTTTCCCCCTCGTCCTTCTCCTCCTCATCCCCCTCCTCCTTTTCTCCTCCTCCCCCTCCTCCCCCTCCTCCTCCTCCCCCTCCTCCTCCTCCTCATATTTTGTGTCTTGATTTTTTTGTAACAATAATATGCGTAATTGATGATATTACAAATAATTTCATTATTCCCCGGATTACCTTTCCTATTGTGATAATCCGATTTTTATTACTCATGATAATGATATGTCTCGTGTGCTTTACATGATTAATAGCATGATAGTTCGTAGCATTCGTATTAATAGAATTGTTGGAAATGGTCTTAATATCTTAGCAGTTTTGCTGTAGCCGTACTAGTAGCAGTAGCAGTAGTAGCAGTAGTAGTGGTAGTAGTAGTCGAAACACAGTAGTAGTAGTAGTAGTAGAAGAAGAAGAAGAAGAAGTAATAATAATGGGAGTAGCTACAATGGTCGTAGTAGAAGTAGCGGTGATAGTAGCAGTCGTCGTCGTAGTACTAGTAGTAGTAGTAGTTCTAGTAGTGGTGGTAGTAGTAGTAGTAGTCCTACTAGTAGTAGTAGTAGTAGTGGTAGTAGTAGTAGTGGTAGTAGTAGTAGTAGTAGTAGTAGTCGTAGTAGTAGTAGTAGTAGTAGTAGTAGTAGTAGTAGTAGTAGTAGTAGTAGTAGTATCAGTAATAGTAGTTAGTCGTCGTCGTCGCCCTCGCATTATTCATATTACGATTCGACATATTATTCTCTTCATTCGCAGAATTACCCATGTTATCAATAATATGATTATTGGTACGAATTTAAACTATCATCATTCGTCGCTTTACTCTTCGTAGTATTCTTGTGATTATTATTGTTATTGCTCCTCCTCCTTTTCCCCCTTGTCCTACTCATCCTTTTCCTCCTCGTCTTCCTCCTCCTCGTTTTCCTCTTCCTGCTCTTTTTCTTCCTTTTCCTCATCCTCCTCCCTCTCCTCCTCTGGTTCCTCCTCCTATCCTCCCCTTCTTGGGGCACAACGGCTCCCAAGCTTTTGTCCCACTGCGTGTTCCACCACATGGCTGGTCAGGGCAAATTGCCTGGGCATCGTTTCTGGATGCGCTGGTGAAGTCACGCGAAGCATATACGATAACTCGTCCCTGTCGCACCACCGAAAGTGTCCATGGGCTGGGCGTTTCGCCTGAAACTTCGTCGCCAAATTATGCCCGTGAAAATTGAAATTTGCAGCAGCTTTACGGATGAAGCCCAGCTGTTTTCAAAATGTGGTTCTCGCCTTAACGCCGCGGACACTCGTTTCAAAAAACGAACAGTCTCAACGATGGAGGCCGGCTCGTTTACAAAATGTGGTTCTCGCCTGAGCGCCGCGGACACTCGAACTATAACTTGCGACATATCCAAGGATGATGGCAAGCTCTTGATCAACATGCGGTTCTCGATCTAGCGCCGCGCACAACCAGATTATCCAACCCTCACCATCATGTGCAACATTCGATTCGGTGCACATCCGTCCGACCAGGTGTTCACCATCGAAACAAATAAAAACTCAAATCCACAACACCCACGTCCGTAGGCTCAGCCCTCATCGTGATATGCACCATATATTTTCCAGCGCACATCCACCCGACCCAACCCCAACCATCCTCTGCCAAAAAAACGTTCGGCGCACACTCATATGACCCAATCCACAACATCCTATGTATACGATACGGTGCACATCCACCCGACACAAACCGCACAAACCTACACAGAAAAGTAAAGTTCAATGCGCATCCATCCGACACAACCCTCACCATCCGATGTAAAGCCGTTACTCGGTGCGCACATGCTGATCTTCAACATCGGCCTACCCTCTGGCCCCGAAGAGGACTCCTGGGCACAAGGGGCAGACAAGTCAACACATCGAAAGCAAATACCAAATAAATCGATACGTTCTGGGCACGCCTCGCTGGCTCCAATTTTGGACCCAAGCGCTTCCCAGGCTGCCCCAGGCGCTCTAACACGCTCCTGTGCAATGCCAGACGACGCAATCCCTCCACAAGCGCTGCCAGGCTCGCCGTCGCCACCAGCAGCAACATAATCCACATCCTCATCTTCATCGTCCTCGTCGGAATTCAGATCCCGATGGCGCGTGGAGCACTAACGAATCTCACCGTGGGACTCTAGCTTTGCTGGCGCCGCACACATCTTTTTACACAACCAATAGAGAGCGGTTCGTTTTCAAAAGGGTGCTATCTCGCCCTGGCTCCGTGCACACTCGGCTTCCACAGTGTCCTTAACTGCGAAGAGTGGATGGCGAGTCCTTCCCAAGGCGGTTGGGGCATTGGACAAGGAACCCTTGGATAAGGAATAAAGGGTCTGGAAGCTGGTGTAACTGCAATCGTGAATCGGCCATGGATAACACCGCTATCCTCATCAGATGAGGAATCCTGGAGGGCATGCAGCCTCCTGGGCACATTCCTCAGCGAACGCCCCCACCGTGTTGGGGTCTCGCTTTGGCCTCGCGCACATTCGAATACAAAGTCCACCATCTACACTCACTTGACCTTTCCTCGACCTCAACGACCTGGCGTTCCAGATTGTGCGACAGCTAACACGGATGGCAGGCGGCTCCTCCTTCGAAACGGGGCTCTCGCGTTGGAATTCCGCGAAGCATACGTCCACGACCTCTGACGTCCTGCAACGCTCAGACCAGGGATGGAGGGCATGTGCTTCTCAAGATGGGGCTACCCTGGGCGCCCTTCAGGTGGAGGGATGATGCCTTAAAACAGGCGCCCTGGAGGAGGAGGAGGAGGGGGAGGAGGAGGAGGAGGAGGAGGAGGAGGAGGGTAAGGGGGGGCTTCCGCAGTGGAAAGGGATACTTGCATGGACGTCTGAGGAGGGGACCTGCGACGGGAGGGTCACTTCAGCATCGGCTAAGACATCTTGGGTTCGTGTTGGTCCTTCGTCTTTTCTTCTTCCCCCTCCCCCAGTCATCCTCATCCCCCTCCTCCACCTTTGGGCCTGGCCCTGGCCCACTCGCGCTGCAAACACCATCCAAGCATTAGGGTATGATTCGAGACCTGGACCGTCGAGTCATTGATCACAACGGAAAGGGACGGGAGGGACGGAGCGGAGCGTCCGACGTGGCGCGAGCGCACCTGGATCGTCCCTGCTCCTCTCCCTCTCCTGCCCATTCTTCTCCCCTCTCCCTCCTCCCCTCGCTGGGCGGGGGCTCCTCCCCACCCTCCCGATCCCCCGCGCCCCTCGCCGCCCTCCCAGCCCCCCCGAACCCCTCCCGGTCCTCACCTGCAGGTGGGAGGCAGGCTCCGACCAGCCACAACTGGGGGAGCTGTGGTCCTTACCCCCCCCCAGGAGAGCCCATCGCATCGACGATCTCTCGAGAGGGGTGTCGAAATCGAGGGGTCCCCCAGGGGGGTAAGGACCGCAGCTCCCCCAGTCGTGGCTGGCCTGCGGCTCCTCCAGGATGTAGAGCCACTCGAAGACGCAGCGGTCCACCTGGGGCGCTGGCCGCGCGGCTCCAGAGAAGCGTCCAAGGGGCTGCCGGAGACAGAGAGCGCATCGGGGCGACCCCCCCCTTGGCCCGACGCGCGCTCGCTTATGGAGGAGACAGGGAGGTATCCCTCCTGCCTTCGCCTCGACATTCCTCCGCCCCCCCCACCCCCGCCCCCTCCCTCCTCCGTCCCGTCCTCCCTCCCCCCTCCAATTCTCTCCGTCGCTCCTTTCTCCCTCCTCCCTTCTCCTTCCATCCCTCCAGCCCAGCCTCCTCTTTCCTCGCGCCCCCCCCCTCTCCTCCCTTCGTCCTCCTACGTCTGCGCCCTGAACCGATGAAAAATCCTCCTCCCTTCCCACCTCCTCCCTCCCCTGCCCTCCATTCTCCTTCTGCTGCTCCCTCCCTCAGGGCCAGTCTTGGCTAAACTGCGCCGTATGCCATGCGCCAAGAGAGAGTGAGAGAGAGAGGGAGGGAGGTGTCCCTCCGATGGACTCGGGTGGACTGGCATGCGAGGCCCCCCTGAGATTCTGACACCCCACCCCTCCCACGCATCACATCCCTTTCCTGCACACAGGTCGGAATCAGTGCAGAGCCGTGAAGAGGGTACTGGATGACCTTGACCCCAGCATGACACTTATCGTGTGATGCGCAATGACAAAAGGAGGGCTTCCTACAATGGAGGAAAAAGAACGTGGCGGATGATCACAAAAATGAGCAGGAGAAGAGGAGTAAGCTAAGGAAGCAGGAAAGGGAGGATGATCAGTAGCAGGAGCAGGATGAGTAGGAGCATGAGGAGCAGGAGGATCAGCGAAGGCGGAGGAGACGAAAGAAGGGGGGCAGCGACGACGCAGGGATTCGATCCAGAAATGTGGCACGCGCTGGGGCGAGAGCGTCATTCTGAACGACAGGAGGAAGGCACCGATCCGAAGATGTTGCCAACGCTGCAGCGAAAGCACCATATTGAAGGATCGAGATTCCGATCGAACAAGCCATAGAAAGGCAAATTAATGAAATCCTGCGTAAACGTTTCATACACGAGAGAGGCTGGTAACGCTGACAAAAGTACAGGAATCCAGAATACGAATGATACTAATAATGGTGATGTTAATAATAATAATGAATAATAACAATAATAATAATAATAATAACAACAGCAACAATAATAATAATAAATAATAATAATAAGAATAAGAATAAGAATAATAAGAATAATAATAATAATGATGATGAAGCGAACTAAACTGTGATAATAGAAAATTCGAAAAATATGCATAACAAATAAGAATGACAGGACTAATCATAATAGTACTCGTGCCGTCTAATTGTGGAGGGGATGGGGTGGGGGAAGGGGAGGAGAGAGGAGGGGGAGAGAAGAGGCAGGAGTGAGAAGGGATGAAGGGATGAAGGCAAGGGGAAAGGGGGAGGGGAGGGCGAGAAAATGGGGCAGGCGGAAGAGGAGGAGGAGCAGTAAGACACGGGGCAGGGGGATCAGGCGCAGGAACAAGAGGAGCAGCGGCAGGAGCAGCAGACGCTCGCTGTTGATCAACAATGACCTCGATGAGGTGCAAAGGATGCGGAGCAAGAGGGGACGAGGCGCAGGAGGCCAGGTGCAAGAGAAAACGAAACCCTTCCATCCAGGAGCGAACAGACCGCCTGGCCCGCAGAGAAGCCGGCGCCCCCCCTCATCCATTCCCTTTCTCATGAAAAACTCCTCCTCCTCCTCCCTCCTCCTCCTCCTCCCTCCCTCCCTCCCTCCTCCTCCTCCTCCTCCCTCCCTCCCTCCTCCTCCTCCTCATCCTCCTCCTCGTCTTCATATGTCCCTTGTCCTTATGAATAACTCCTCCCCGTCGCACCCCGAGGCGTCGCGGCGTGTCCGTAGGACGGGCCGGGCGTTTCGTCTGAGACTTCCTTCCTCACCACGTATGATCTGTAAGCTGAAAAGTCGCGAGTGTTACACGGATGGTGGGCGGGCGGTTTTCAAAAAGTGGCTCTCTGGACTTAGCGCCGCGCACATTCGTCTGAAAGGTGTGCAAGAGCTTCACGGATGGAAGGCGGGTGGTTCTCAAAATGTGGCTCTCGCTGAAGCACCGCGCGCACTCCTCTCAAATGTGCGCAAGCGTTTCACGGATGGAAGGCGGCTTATTTTCAAAACGTGGTTCTCGCCGAAGCACCACGCACACTCGTCTTAAACATGCAGGAGCGTCACAGGTGGAGGGCGGGTCCTTTTCAAGATGTGGCTCTCGCATTTGCGCCGCGCTCATTCGCCTTAAACATAGACACAACGGTTTCACGGATGGAGGGCGGTTCCTTTCAAAATGTTGCTCTCGCCGTAGCGCCGCGCACATTCGAATTCCGAGTTTCAAGGGTTATCATGGTTAACGTCCCAGAAGCGGTGTTCTGGCACGATGTCGGACTGTCAGGGCACGACAGTTACATTGATTCACGGTGTTTGAAGTCCAGGGAACGAAGCTCTGGCACGATTCAGGATCGTCAAGACGCAACAGTAGCAGTGATTGGCGGCGTTGAAGTCCCAGGCATGGTGTTCTGGCACAGTTCGCAATGTTCAACGGTTGTCTTCCAACTGGGAACCTCCCTCAGTGAAAATGAGCACGTGTAGAGACCTATGACAAGGGAACTTGGAGGGAAGGGTTATTGCAATATCGTTGATGAGTTCTGGGTTTACACTGGTCTTTGGTCCTCCTCCTCCTCCTCCTCCTGCTCCTCCTGCTGCTCATGCTCCTCCTGAGCGCCGCGCACATTAATCTCAAAAGCTTGCAGTCATGTTGTTAAGGATGCAGGGCGATTCCTTTCAAAACGTGGCTCTCGCGTTAGCGCTGCGCACATTCGCCTCAAAAGTGTGCAGCAGTTTCTAGGGTCATACGGCTGAAATACCAAGAACGGTGCTATGGCAATATTTTAGGATTGCCAGGACACAACAGTCACGCTGATCTGCGGCATTGAAGTCCCTGGAATGGCGCTTTGGCACGATCGAGGACTCGCAGACGGTTGTCTTCTGATGGGCAACTTCCCGCAATGCGGAGAAATTCTGGTAGGGACCCGTGTAGAGGGAACTCGCAACATCGTTGATGCGTCTGCCCTCCTTCTCATCCTCCTCCTCGTCCTCCTCGTCGTCGTCGCCTACCCTGACTCCAGATCCGCCCTACTTTGGCTTTTTTTCAAACTTAAAAGTGCTTCGGAAATCCACCTATAAAAAGCCGAAAAAGTAGGGCGGACATTTCTGCACCCAGCATAAAGTAGAGCGGAAATCCACAAGAGTAGGGCGGAAACAGCAACAGAAAAGTAGGGCGGAAATTGGCATCAGCGGGGCTGGCAAAGTACGGCGGAAATTCCAAGCCCTACTTACGAATTCCCCCAAAGTAGGGCGGATCCGGAGTCAGGGTAGGCTATTATCCCACTGCTTGCCCTGGCCGGCACGGGAGGGCGACGGACGTCGTTGAACGTCATCTTGGCGGACTCGAAGTGGGCCTGAGCCTCGCCGCGGGCGGGGCCCTCCCCCCCCTTCCCCTCCCCACCTCCCCTGGCCTGCTCCGTTCCTCTCGGGGGCGGAAAAGAGGGGGGTGATGACTAGGGGGGGGGGATATCATTTGGAGGCCTGGAAATAAGCACCAACACGAAGACAGGGGGCTGCCTCCACAGGGGAGAGATGATCCTAGATGTCGGTGTTGGTGGTAATATTTCGGTCACCTTGAAGCCAGAATATTACCACCATGACCGAGATCGGGATCTTCTTTCCTCGGTGGAGGAGCACCGCCGATATTGGTGTTGGTGTCAACCTCTAGGCCTGCGAATCATGGCGTGGGCCATGAGATTTCCCCAGATTTCGTGGCGCCTCTTCTTATTTCATTCCGTCCCTGGCCCCCCCGCTGGGCCGCGCACATGCCGCCGGTCATGATTTGCACCCCCCTCTCTTGGACACCCCCCTCTTGGCCGCTCCCGATCCTCGGGGGAGGGGCCGTGGACCCACCGGGAAACACAAGAGAAAGCCAAGAAGATGAGATTACAAACTCCCGAGAGAACCTCCGAAAGAAACCCGCATGGGGGGGGGGTCCTGGGGGCATCGGGGAACTGCCACACCCTACTGCTGCGCAGACAGCAACTCGGCAAGGCACGCGCCGCTGGGGGACGGGAAGGGTGTCCCCAAAGATGCCGGCCGGACTGAAGGCCGCGGACTTCGAGCAGCTCAGGGCCGAGATGCGTGCACGGCAAGTACAGCTTCGAGGTCCCTGTCGTGGACATACTGTTGGGCGCCTTGAACCCCTTCATCAAGACCGTGGGTCCAGAGCCTGATGTACCGGATAATCCCGCTGAAGAAGAACCTTCTTAACATCCTGTTGCAGAGAGGGAGAACCCCTTCGATGAGGATGACTCGGAGTTGCTGGAATGTGCTGCTGATGATCCGCATGATGGCGACCATCGGCCTCAAGCAGGACATGAATCCACAAGTGCATGATGAACCTCCGCCTGCCACCTCGCGCGACGACGGGGACGTGATGGAGTTCGGAGCTGAAGTTCGCCGTCCTGGGGGAGTACAAGAGCGATGCGGAGCGCCACTGAAACCTCGAGTTCGGCAAGCTGGAGGTGAACGAGAAGTGGAAGGAGTGCGAGCACACCGCCACGCAACTCTTGAAGGCCGATGGACACCTCAAGGCGCGGGGCCAGGAGCACACCGGCCTAAAGCAGGAGGTGATCGAGATGAAGACCGCAAGGAATCGGCTGGAAGAGAGCCTGAAGTACACGCACCTGTACCTCAACATCGTCAGGCGGGATCTGCACGGGGAGAGGGAGCAGTGCGAGCACATGGCCACGCAGCTCTTGGAGGCCGATGGACTCCTCAAGGTGCTGGAGCCGACGCATGCAAGCCTGAAACAGGAGGTGATCGTGCCGAAGACCAAAAATAGTATGAATGGGATAAAGTGTTGCAAGCGCGCCTGGACCTCGACAGCGTGAAGCTGGAGCTGAACGGGGAGAGTGAAGAGTGCGAGCAGCAGCTCAAGAACCTCGAGATCGTGAAGCTGGAGCTGAACGAAACGAGGAATGAGTACGAGCGGAAGTGCAACGAGCTCGTGGAGGCAAAGGAACACCATGCCGCGCTGGGCTTGGAGAATGCCCAAATTGATTTCGTCTTCGATGGGCTTCACGTCGTGCACTCGGTTTACAGCGTGAAGGGTGTGGAGGCAGAGGTGGCGCTGAACGAGAAGGAGACGGAGTGCGGCAGGTTGCACGACATGTACCTGGAGGGCCTCGGCACCCGCCCGTCCTGCAGGCGACCTCGAAGAAGGTCTCCCTCGGCGGTGGACAAACCTCCCTTTAGTAAACCTCCCCTTAACGAAGACGACCCAGGGCCGAAACCGACGGACCTGGACCCGCAAGAATGGCGGCCGCGACGCCCTCTCGCGAACCTAAAACGGCCAGTTCCTTAATCGACGTGTCAGGGGTTATGAGGTCTGTCCACCTCCGACTCCCCGCCCCTCGGCGGCCGAGGCGTGCGGAGGCTGCCAAGCGTCCCTCCTCCCTGAGAGCCGCGCCGAGCGCCCGCCGCGCCGCGCCGTGCCCGAAGCCGCCAGAGAGGCGGCAGCACGGTATGCCCGTTGGGGTCACGCCGTTCCCCGCCTGGCCCTCCTGGACCTCCCTCCTCCCTCCTCCCTCCTCCCTCCTCCCTCCCCTCCTCCCTCATCCTCCTCCTCCTCCTCCTCCTCCTCCTGCTCCTGCTCCTCCTCCTCCTCCTCCTCCTCCTCCTCCTCCTCCTCCTCCTCCTCCTCCTCCTCCCCTCTTGGCCCTCCTGGACCTTTGGGTCCAGTCTTGGGGGGGGAGGGGGGGCGGGGGCTGGGCTGAACCCCGCGGCCTGCCCATGCTGGCTTGTGACATCTGGTCCGCACGAGGTGTCCGAAGTATCCCGTCCAAGCCCCGCCCTCACCCCTCCTCCATCGGGGATGGACAGACCCCCCTTTAGTACAACGTGGTTTAGTGAAAACGACCTGAGGCCCAAACTTGGCGGGCGAGAAGCCTGGAAAATAACGGCCGCGGCGCCCTTTCGAGAACCGAAAACGGACAATTCACTAATCGACGTGTCACTGTTGGGGGTTATGTCCAGCCCCGACTCCACTCCCAAGCCGCTGTCCCGCGTTCGTCCCATCCCCCACCGCTCACACTTTCCCACCAGATCCTTCCAGTGAACACATCCAGGCACCGATTTATGGATGGCTCTTCAGGGCGCACTTTTCAGTGAAGGTGGAGAGCGAAATGGGCAATCGGCCCATCGGCCAAAAGGGTATGCGTTAGACAAGCTCCAGTCGGAAAGTGCCAGAGAGGGGCATGGAGGGGACGACAATAGCGGGAACTTCGGGCGGAATGGGCATAAGGGAAGAAGGGGGCGGCGAAGGAATGGGCGAAGACTGTCACGTGAAGAAACAATGGAAACAGGACGCTCTCCCTCCTCTCCCCTCCTTCCTCCCTCGCCCTCCCCCGATTATGTCCCTCTCTCCCCTCTTGCCGCCCTCGCTATCTCCCCATTCTGTCCGGGGGGGGGAGCTAGGCTAGGAGAGATGGCAGGAGGCATGGGAGAGAGGGCAGGAGAGGGGAGACTGACGAGTGGACAGGAGGAGAAGCGGCGCGGAAGCAAGAAGGGGGGAGGGAGGGGCGATGCCTGCAGAAGCTTCTTGTCGTGGGCGGGCGGGTTCCTCTTGACCTGCTCCTGTCGCGTCCCGCGCCACTCTTCCCGAGAGACATCGGCATGCCTCCAGAAAGTACCCTCCTAGTCATCACATGCCGAATCACCATCACTTTCGCTACCATCCTCCTCGTGGCCACCCACCCCTCCATCCCCTCACAACCAACACCTCATCGCCACCGCGACCATCATCAGCAGCAGCAGCATTGGTAGCAGCACTAGCATCATCATAAAAAGAAGAAGGCTAAGAAACTCAACATTCATAACAATAATAGGAAGAAGACTCATCATCGCTCTCCTCCTCCGTCACCTCCTCCAGTCTTCATCTTCGTGATTATCAGCAGCAGCAGCATCATCTGCCTCCCCCTCCTCATTATCCGCCCCCTCCTCCTCACCCTATCACCACGATCGGCAGCAACAGCGCACCATCATCATCATAGCATCATCATCAGCAGCATCGTCAGCAGCATAAGCATCATCATCATCAGCATCATCAGCGTCATCATCATCATCATCATCATCATCATCATCATCATCATCATCATCATCATCATCATCATCATCATCATCATCATCATTCTCATCATCACCATCATTATCATCATCACCATCATCATGAGCATCAGCATCATCGTCAGCGTCATCGTCATTATTGTCATCATCAGCATCAGCATCATCATCGTCAGCACCATCATCATCAACATCATCATCAACATCATCATCATCATCATCCTCATCATCAGCATCACCATCATCATCAACAACATTAGCATCATCATCAGCATCAGCATCAGCATCATCATCATCATCAGCAGCAGCATCTGCATCAGCATCGTCATCATTATCATCATCATCATCATCATCATCATCATCATCATCATCATCACCATCATCATCGTCGTCATCATCATCACCATCGTCAGCATCAGCATCATCATCGTCATCGTCAACATCACAATCATCATCGTCATCATCATCAGCAGACGTCAGCATCATCATCATCATCATCATCATCATCATCATCATCATCAACAGTCATCTGCATCATTCACATCATCATCAGCAGCATTATTACCATCACCACCACCATCACCAGCATATTCATCATCAGTATCCCCGTCATCCCCAGCATCCTCACCATCGGCCTCTCCAGAAAACCGGGGGGGTCACTACCAGTTCGACCCCGCCCCCTCCAGAAAACAGAGGGGGGTCACTGCCGGTTCGAACCCCCCCCCCCCCACGCTCACCGCCGGCAAAACTCCCGGGTCCCCACCACCGTCCGCACCACATCCCCCACTGCTGTCCCCGGCACCGCTGTCCTCACCACCACTGTGTAGCAGGTCAGCTGATTTTATCGAACAGGTTTTGTTTAAGGGATCTTAGCATGTGTCTGACCGTATCGACACGTTGGCTCAAGGGAAAAGTACTTACTGCCACTGCTGCTGCCACAGTTGGTAGCGGAGCCTGGTGAGGCTCGGGCGCCATGGGTGGCGACGGGCGGCCCTGATCGGCCCGGCCCAGTCGCTGCTGGAGAGCCCCGGGCCACTCCAGGCTCGCGCCGGCAGGCGGCGCGGGACGCGGGAGTATGCCCGACGACGGAGACGACGATGACAAGAAGGAACAGGACGCGGTCTACACGGATCTGTCAGGAGCAGCATCTGGTGGACCGCCGGCAGTGACCCTCTCGGCTCAGCAGCTGAAGGACCTGGTGGCTGGCGTAGTCAGGGAGACTATGAGCGCGGCGCCGACGGCGACGGCTGCGAGTACGGGCGCAGCAGCGGCGGCGGCAGCGGCAGGCGGTCCCGAGGGTCGCCATGAGCCCGAGTGGAACCCCTGGCGAGGCCAGGCAAGGAGCAGTTCGGCAGCAGCAGCAGCAGGCTGGACGGCCAGGGGCCCCGACGACTGGAACGACAAGTGGAAGGACTACCAGAAGGACGACGACGGCGACGACAAGAAGAAGGACTACCAGGCGGACGCCTGGAAGAACGACGGCTGGCACGACAGAGGCTCGTGGCAGTCATGGAGAGAATCGACGTCGAGCTGGTACGGCAAAGGCGACTACAGCGACCCACCCCAGTGGCCAGGGTGGAGTCACTATCGACCTTGGCGCAAGGCGCTGAGACGGTGGAATACCAACACTGACGTGCCGACGTGGCGTCGATGTGAGAAGTTCCTGCGCCTTTTTGACTGGACAATGCAGGCGCACTTCGACAACATTCCGGAGAAGGTCCTCACCAGCGACGACTGGCTAGAGGCGGTCCTCAAGAAGATGGACCTCATGATCGGCGAGCGCGAGGGCGACGACGTGCGACGTACTGGGAGGAAGGCCCTCTACGAGGCCTCGAGAGAGCAGAAGGAGTCCCTCACCCAGTACGTGGCGAGAAGAGAGTCCCAGTTCCTCGAAGCTGAAGCTCATGACCTGACACTCTCCTCCAAGATCAAAGGTTTTCTCTTGGAAGAGGGGTCCGGTCTTACAGCGCAGGGAATGCAAAATCTTCGGACGCTCACCCTTGGACGTTTGGATTTCGAGAGCGTGAGCTGGGCACTCAGACAAATGGACGCTTCTAGCTCCGAGCGGATGCTTCCCGGCAGTAGTAGGACGAACTCTTTGCTGGCGGCCGCCCAGGCCGAAGAGCCGGGCGACGCCCCAGGCACTCTCCCTCTCTCCTCCTACCCGGTGGGTCAGTCGGAGGTCGGTGACCATTCGGACCAAGACGACGGGGAGGACCTCGGCGATGAGGACGAGGACTACTACGACGATGGCGAGGAGGAGGCAGCCATTCTGGCAGAGCTCGAGGACCTCGACCTCGAAGAGGACCAGGTGCCGGAGGCGCTGGCGATGTTCGACAAGAGGCCGAACACCAGGACGTGGAAGCAAAACAAGGACCTGAAGCGTGCTGCGAAGAACGACCGGGGCTACTTCGGCCGACCCAGGTCGGGCGGGGCCCCGCCACCGCCTCGCCCTCCTCGAGGAGACGCCCGTGGCGGGCGCGGCCGAGGAGGCCGCGACAGGACTGGCGCGCGGGGCAGCGGCGGTGGCAGGCGCCCCAAGCTGACCCCCGAGCAGCTCATGAAAGTGACGAGATGCGGCATATGCAAGCAAAAGGGGCACTAGCATCGTGAATGTCCAGAGAAGGACAACCCCAAGTTCAAGCAGCAGGGCCAGCAGAGGCGCCTGGCAGCCTACACCTTCATCGGTTGCGACCTGAGCGAGCCGATCACCTCGGACATGCTCAACGGCTGGAAGATCGTGAACCAGGAGATCCAGAATGACGATGACGCAACGCTGGTGTACCTGTCCGGCAGCGCGGCCACCCAGGCCCTGGTGGACCCAGGCGCCGGTGGCGATCTCGTCGGCCTCACCTCTCTCAACCGCGAGTCGAAGGCTCTTGCGGCCGTCGGCCTCTGCTTCGAGGCGATCCCGAGGCAGGCCCAGAGGCCTCGGGCGGCGCACGGAGTGGGAGGTGCAGCACAGGTTCTAGGCACGATTCTGTTTCCGCTCTGTCTAGGCGCTTCTCTTGGCATAGTGGAAACCACGGTGCTGGCAGACGACGTTCCACATATTTTGAGCGTCAACCTTCTCGAGTTTCTCGAGTGCGTGATCGATTTGCCCGAGAATTCGATGTCCTCAGGCTTCCTTGGGACAGTGATCCCGCTCACCAGGCTCGGATCAGGTCACAGAATGGCCGAGGTGGTGCGGCCTCTCCCGATGCCTCTGGAGATACCCGAGAGAGCTCTGAATAAGTACCCGTTCTTGAGCAAGAATTCGTTTACCTTAGGCGACCGGTCGCCTCCTGAGATGCTGGCTTCAGGAGAAGTGCGTTACTACATCCTCCTCTGCCTCTTCCTCATCACTGTCGTGACAGGTCTCGTGAGGGCCGTGAGGGGGCAGATACGGTCTTCGGGAAGCACCAGCATCAGATTCGGCGGGTCCCTCCTCGGGTTGACGAAGTTCTGGACACTGGTGTTTATCGGGATCGGGTTGCCGCGAGCTCAGACAGCGTCTATTGATCCGTGCGGGGGCCTAGGATCAACGGAAGAAGCTAAGGCGAACTGGCCGACGCTCGAGCAGGGGGACCTAGGACCACTAGCGGCGCTCTTGGTTGGAGGCCTCTCCGTAGCCACTTTTGGCTCGAGCCTGACAGGCGCAATTGCTTTCACGTATAAGGCTTTCTCACGCGATCACTCTCCCAGCCAAGGGAGCGGAGACACAGGTCTCGATGGCAGCGAGGCTCGCGGCGATCATGATGCTCACGGGTGCGAGCGGCGCCTTGGACGGGAAGAAGAAGAAGCCCGCAGCCTGGGACGCCACGCAGCAGGAGCTCGAGAGGCAGCGCCAGGCGGTGCTGCAGCAGCTCCAGCCGCAGGGCCAGACCGTCACCGGCACGACCACACAGACAGAGACGCCTCAGACCGGAGTAATGCCTCCGACAGCCGACGCACCGACGCAGCTACCAAGCGGACATGTCTCGCAGGCCCAGCACGAGGACGACATCACAATGCAAGCAGGCATCGCAAACAGCCTGGGAGCGTTCAACCAGGCGGTGGGCCAGACTACGGGGGCAGCCGGAGCATCAGCGTCAGCAGAGGCGGGTACAGCGACATATCCAGCGGCAGCGGCCTGGGGATCAGCGTCGAGCTCAGGCACCGGCGGACCTCCGCCAGCTTTCTCGAACACGCCCGACCTACCAGGCAACACGTTCGGGTACTACAACCCCCAGGGCTACTTCGAGGTCGGTCGCCCAGGGGCTCTACAGCCAGGCCTTCGACCCAAGCCACCTCCCAAGCCGGATCCGAGGACGGGGTTCATCCCGGGCCCAGCTGCTCCTCCTCCGCAGCACACGCACATCCCGATGATGCAGACCCCGGGCGGAGCGGTACCAATGAAGCCTCCACCCCGGATCGAGACACCTCCCGGGGCGCAGTTCGGTGCCATGGCCGGTGGCGATCCAGCATGCGGGCATCCCGACAGGTGCATTCGCTACTACGGGAACCAACACGGGAGCGGGTCCAAGTGCACGAGG